ATTTAAAGGCAATAAGGGAATAGTTGCTTTGGTAACTGATGTGTAAACTTATGTAACTTTGACTGGTACATACAAAATGAAGAGGAGGGACGACAACTTTTTGCACTAAAAAGAATTCTCACTCAACCCGAGCAACTTTTGAGTATTTTTTTCTCATATGCCTAATCATGCGTCATGCAATCACTATAACATAAAACATCAACATTCTTCAACTGCATCCCTATTCTGGGTTGTTATGGAGCTGTTCATTTTGTTATACAGCAACGATTTGTATAATTTGTTATTAAACGACAGGTTTATCAAGAAAAAACAGGAAGAAGCAGAATGTCCATTAACTAATGAAGATGAAATATAGGAATTAAAAACCAATTTTTCAAAATCTACCAGGATTAAAAAAAAAAAAGAACAAATATTCAAAATCATGGATAGGAAAAAAATCGTAACTTGAAACTACTAATATTTGGTTATGCAGGGTCAAGATTTGACATAATTAGAAAAAATCTAAATTTTATTTAGAGTCCACCTACAAAAAATTAACTATAAATCACACATTTCTAAATAATAGACGCACATATAAAAATCTTTAAAATCGAGAAGGTGGGTTATCTATTAATATTTCACTCTGTCGCTTAAGTCGTATATTGTTTAGTATAGAATTTTCCTTCTATTTAACCGCGTGTAATGCTTTTCATCAACGACGAGCAGGCTTTTGTTTTGGAAAGATGAGGAATGCTAGATCCTTAAGTTCCCAAGAATCCCAACTTGATATATCGGCTTGAAGTAGCTAAACAAAAAATCTGTGGGAGAAGACTTGCACAGATGTTTGTGGGGTTCAAAGAGATTGATATTACAGTAGATTGGAGATTTATAATGTAATATTTCTTATTTTCTCTTTCAGGGTATACCTTTCAAATCTTTTAGATCTATTGTTCACGTGACATGTCTACTGATTTATTTTTTGTTATTGGTGCATATCTCATAAATGTAATTATGATTTTTATATATTAAAAAAAAAAGTGTGCTTAACTTCTCAAGTTTGGATTCTCATAATTCAAACTAACTAGTTGACTTAATTGTTCCAAAATTTATTGTTGAAATTAATTGCTGACGGTGATCCTCAACTTTTTCTATTTAAATGAAGAAGTCCATACACTTCTCACTGCATTCTTGGTTGGACAATTTTCTCTTCTACCTTGTACTGGTAAAGTATTCTCTTGTATACATCTTTTGTATATATGCCTAACGTTTGCCTAACGATTATCTTCTAAATATTAAGCAGGAATGGCTTCCTTTGGTCGATTTTGCTTGTTCGCCTGGCTTTTGTGGGGAAACTTAGGAGTCCGAGGCGATGACTCGGCGATCGTTGGTGTATGCAAAAAGATTGGCATGTATTATGATATGTGCTATGACTGCCTAAAGAGCAACCCACAAGAACCAGATTTTGCTGCCAAATCCATAATATGCGCCACTGATGCATATGTTATCCTCCGAAAATCAGCTTTCGATTTTTCGTTGAATTCTACTGGCCGCTTTCGGGAGGTGGCCCAATTGTGTGTGGATCAATTTGACATAACTTTGGGTTACTGTAAAGCCGCGTTTAAAGCATGGAGATTGAAGCGAAAACTAGCCACCTTAGCATTTCTTCGCAGCGGTTTGGATTATTACTTCAAGTGCGTTAATCACGTCTTCGAACCCGTTCCAATTGAATATGTCGTACAATTAAATACTGCTAAAGATTTCAATGAGGTGTCACTTGAAATTGTCTCTCTACCATGATCGTAGTTTTGATCCAATTTTTGGATAGCTAATGTAAAATATATCATCTTAATCTTCATGGGCTTCAGTTGATGGGTATTTTTCTTAATATATACTTGCTTACCGTTTTTATTCACTCTATGTTTATCCATGCTTCACAAAATAAATTATATATTGATTTTGATGTTATGAAGTCATCCATCCTTTCTTTTTTCATTTATCTTTGTGCACTATGAGAAATGATGCCATTTTCATTTATCTTCAGTGCGTTGTATTCTAATTTAAAGAAGGAAAAGTAGAGAAATATGAATTGGGTAAAAACTCGATTTGGTAACAATATTATATATATGTATATGTATATGTGTGTGTGTATGAGCGAGCTAATTTCTAAAAACTCTTGCTTCTCTCAAAAAAAAAAAAAAAAGCCTTACATCTTGCTTACTGTGCAAGTCCATCTTGCTTCCATCGCCATGCCATAATCGATTAACTAATGCAGAATTTAAAATAAATGGATGAATAAAGTGTTGGGTTTTTTGGGCTCCCAACTTATGTAGAAAAGTCAAAAAATTAATGGGTAATTGTCTAAGCCCATTAAGGAGCTGCCCTACCTATTTATAGGTCAAATTAGGTTTATTGTTAAGGCAGAAAAAGTGAAAAACGCAGAAAAATTCTGGAGAAAAATTTCAGCAAGTTTCTGGTTTGAGCAGTTGCGGTAAATCACTTGATTGACATAGCAACCAACGTCTGATCGGCCTGAAATTTTAACTGAAGGTAGAGGACATCCACTTCTACATTCTGACGGTGGGATCGGATTTGAACAGTTCAATCTTTAGTTATAAATTTTGGACTGCTGCTGTTTCTGATGAAGTTTTTCACAGCTTTTGCTCTTTATTTGGGATTTGGTGACTTTGTTGATTGTTTAAGACCATATCTCAATTGTGTACTTGCTGAAAGTTATACTCTACTTTTAATTGGTGATAGTGGAGTAATTTGTGGTGGGCTTAAGAGTCTCGTGGTTTTTCCTCTTCACATTGGAGAAGTTTTCCACGTAAAACTGTGTCTTCTTGTGGTTGATTTTTTTTGTGTTTGTGAGCTGATTTATCTTCCATTAGTTGCTGGATTTTGTCTTGTATTACGCTCCTAATCTGTTCTAACAAATTGGGGAGATTTTCGCTGTGTGTTGTGGTTATTCGAAACCCGATACCTCCCAACATAAAGAAGGCATAGCAAAGAATGAACTAATTAACGGAACTAATATAAATAGGAAAATTGATTTAAAGGTGTTAGATGTTCAAATGCAATCCTTTCGGTACAAAATTAAACCTACATTAAAAGAAAGATCCAATAAATAAAGCAATTAAGAAAGTACGAAAAAAAGTAAGTACTTACCATACATTCATATAGTCAACAAAAATACCACGCTCAAATTTCATCTAGTACACCTAAAAAACCTAACTTTTTTTATCCTTCTGTTTTTTGAGAAAATATGGTATTAACTGCTCACTCCATCCCATTTTATGCATCCCAGTTTCCATTTCAATTTGTCCAAAAATATTTGTTTTGGCCAAATGGAAATGAATTAGCCCTAACAATTCTATTGTACCCTTCCGACAATTTTCATAAAAAAGCACTTAAGTCATAGTTGCCCAATAAATAATGTTACTCCCTCCGTCCCACTTTGATAGTTCTGTTTTCTTTTTTCGTCTGTCCCAAATTGTAGTCCACTTTCCAATTGAAAAATGTAGTTGTATTTTAATTTTCCTAAATACCCTTATTTAATGTAAATTGTTGTTACTATAAACCTATCCCATTTAATGAGGGTTGATTCTTTTTTTACCATCAATTCAAGTTCCCATAAAATTGTACTCTATTTAATGTGAGGCTATTTTAGGAAAATAGCAATCTAAATTTACTTTTCCAACAAAATTAACTATTTTTTTTTAAACTATGCGAAAAAAGAAACAGAACTATCAAAAGTGGGACGGAGGGAGTAGAATTTTCATTTTTTTCGTTTTGATAGTTGTGCCTCTTTTTAGAATACTAAACAACTAACCAATTATTGAAATTTAATTTAAGGGCAATAAGGGAAATGGCAGCTTTGGTAACTAATGTGTAAACTTACCTAACTTTGACTGGAACATACAAAATGAGGAGGAGGGAGTACAACTTTTTTGTACTAAAAAGAATTCTGATTGAACCTTAGGAAATCTTTAATATTTTTTCTCACATGCCTAATCATGCGTCTGCTAATCAATATAACACAAAACATCAATATTCATCAACAATTGCATTGCATGCGTCCCTATTCTGGATTTTTATGGAGCTGTTCATTTTGTTATATGGCAATGATTTATATAATTTATTATTAAACCAAAGGTTTATCAAGAAAAAACAGGAAGAAACAGAATGTTCATTAACTAATGAAGATGAAATATAGGAATTAAAAATCAAAATTTCAAAATCGACCAGGATAAAAAAAAAAAACAAAAATTCAAAATCATGGATAGGAAAAAAATTGTAACTTGAAACTACTAATATTTGGTTATGCAGGGTCAAGATTTGACATAATTAGGAAAAAAATCTAATTTTATTTACAGCCCACCTACAAAAAATAACTATAAATCACACATTTCTAAATAATAGATACACATAAAAATCTTTAAAATCGAGAAGGTGAGTTATTTATTAATATTTCATTCTGTCGCTTAAGTCGTATATTGTTTAGTATAGAATTTTCCTTCTATTTAACCGCGTGTAACACTTGTCATCAACGACGAGTAGGCTTTTTGTTTTGGAAAGATGAGGAATGCTAGATCCTTAAGTTCCCAAGAATCCCAACTTATAATATATAAAGTAGCTAAGCAACAAAATTTGTGGGAGAAGACTCGTACATATTTTGGTGGGGTTCAAAGAAATTGATATCATCATTTACAATAGATTGGAGGTTCATCATATAATATTTCTTATTTTCTCTTATAGGGTATATCTTTCAAATCCTTTAGATCTATTGTTCAGGTGACAAGTCTAGTGATTTATTTTTTGTTATTAGTGCAGATCTCATAAATGTAATTATGATTTTTATTTTAAAAAAAAGGTGCGCGTAACTTCACCAAGTTTGGATTCTCGTAATTCAAACTAATACTAGTTGACTTAATTGGTCCAAAATTTATTGTTGAAATTAATTGCTGACGGTGATCCTCAACTTTTTCTATTTAAATGAAGAAGTCCATACACTTCTCACTGCATTCTTGGTTGGACAATTTTCTCTTCTACCTTGTACTGGTAAAGTACTCTCTTGTATACATCTTTTGTATATATGCCTAACGTTTGCCTAACGATTATCTAAATATTAAGCAGGAATGGCTTCCTTTGGTCGATTTTGCTTGTTCGCCTGGCTTTTGTGGGGAAACTTAGGAGTCCAAGGCGATGACTCGGCGATCGTTGGTGTATGCAAAAAGATTGGCATTTATTATTATATGTGCTATGACTGCCTAAAGAGCAACCCACAAGAACCAGACTTTGCTGCCAAATCCATAATCTGCGCTACTGATGCATATGTTATCATCCGAAAATCAGCTTTCGATTTTTCGTTGAATTCTACTGGCCGCTTTCGGGAGGTGGCCAAATTGTGTGTGGATCAATTTGACATAACTTTGGGTTACTGCAAAGCCGCGTTTAAAGCATGGAGATTGAAGCGAAAACTAGCCACCTTAGCATTTCTTCACAGCGGCTTGGATTATTACTTCAAGTGCGTTGATCACCTCTCCGAACCCATTCCAAATGAATATGGCATACAATTAGATACTGCTAAATCTTTCAATGAGGTGTCAATTAAAGTCGCCTCTCTACCATGATCATGGTTTTGATCCAAATATTGGATAGCTAATGTAAAATATATCATCTTAATCTTCATGGACTGCAGTTGATGGGTTACCATTTTCATTCACTTTATGTTTATCCATGCTTCACAAAATAAATTATATATTGATTTTGATGTTATGAGGTAAATTTCATAGTCAGGCATCCTTTTGAAGCATATATAGATAACTTATACGACTAATATAAATTGGTAGGCCTTACACATGCATTGTACATTCCCATAATCAAAAAATTAGATGTTCATATGCAATCATTTTAGGATAAAATTAACCCTACATTAAAAAAAAAGATCCGACAAATGAAGTAAATTAAGAAGGCACGAAAAAAAGTTAGAATTTACCATACATTCATATGGTCAACAAAAATACCGCGCAAAAGCATTGCGTTCTCAAAAATCATCTTGTACACCTAAAAATCCGAACATTTGTATTCTTCTGTTTGAGAAAATGTGGTATTAACTGCTAGCTCCATCCAATTTTATACATCCTAGTTTTTATTTCAATTTGTCCAAAAATATTTGTTGTGGTAAAATGGAAAATGAATTAGCCCTAACTATTCCTTTGCACTCTTCCGACAATTTTCAAGAAAAAGCACTTAAGTCATAGTTGCCCAATAAATAATGTTGGAATTTTCATTCTTCTCATTTTGATAGCTGTGCCTCTTTTTAGAATACTAAACAACCAACCAATTATTGAAATTTAATTTAAGGGCAAAACATCAATATAACACAAAACATCAATATTCATTAACAACTGCATCTCTATTCTGGGTTGTAATTGAGGCTGTTCAGTTTGTTATATGGCAACGATTTATATAATTTATTATTAAACAATATGTTAATTTATCAAGAAAAAACAGGAAGAACCAGAATGTTCATTGACTAATGAAGATGAAATATAGGAATTAAAAACCAATGTTTCAAATCCCCAAGGATAAAAAAAGAACAAAATTCAAAACCATGTATAGGGAAAAAAAAAATGGTAACTTGAAACTACTAATATTTGGTTATGTAGGGTCAAGATTTGACATAATTAGGAAAAATCTAATTTTGTTTAGAGTCCACCTACAAAAAAAAATTATAAATCACAACATAAGAAGGTGAGTTCTTTATTAATGTTTGTTTTTTTGGCTTAAGTCCAATATCGTTTAGTATAGACTTTTCCTTTTATTTAACTACGAGTAACACTTGTCATCAACAACGGGCAAGCTTTTGTTTTGGAAAGATGAGGAATACTAGATCCTTAAGTTCCCAAGAATCCCAACTTGATACTTGGGTTTGAAGTAGCTAAACAAAGAAAATCTGTGGGAGAAGACTTGCACATATGTTTGTGGGGTTCAAAGAGATCGATATCATCATTTACAATAATGATAGATGTTGAACCTAAACAATAATAAATGTCTATTCAAATAAAATATAAATTTTTGTATATAGCAGTGAGTAGAGTCAAATCTACGGGAACTAAAGAAAATTCATTTTTTCTAGAATTTAGAATACGGGAAATTTTTATAAAATTGAGAATAATTAAATAATTTAGATAAATAAATAAATAAATAAAAATTAAATGATAATTTATTAAAATTGAAGTAATAATAGATAAACTCTAACCAAGGAATAAGTTTGAAAATGATTCACTCAATTGATCATTGATACAATAATAATTTCGTTTATTAACTGATAAATAAGTTATAATTGCCAAACAAATAATGACGGTTAATTTTCCTTATGTATTGGTAATTAAGGTCAATTAAGGTATGACCGTTAATCACTGTCCTAATCAAGAAATAACTCTAGGTATGATTTTAGAGTTCAATTTTCTAGTTCAAATAACATGTTACGAGGGTTATTTTAAATTAGTTCATATGTCTCCCTAACACATTCAACCATGCCAGTTACCACTAGTTTAAAGTAATTAAATAATTATGGATTTAACTACTCTAATTAATTTTAGATTATTAGACTAATTTAAACACTAGACCCTAGATATTCAAATAATATAAGAACCAAAAGAAATTAAATCAAGGAACATACAAATGTCATTAAATAAAAGAAATAAATATAATCAATCTTTTATCACAATTTTAACTAAATCAAATTCTCTGTTGTTCCTTGACTAGAACGAAGAGCTGGGTTCATCTCTCTTGAAGAAAATGCAAGCAAAATAGTTGCAGCAATTGCCAAGAACATTCTTCCATTATCAGATGAGGAGTCAAGACGAAAAAGGAAAAAGAAAACGTTATTAGGAAGAAATACCTTGAGAGAGCCCATCAAAAAATCTAATATGTAAGTTAAGAATCTAATTCTGACCCAAAAACTTAAACTACTAGGTCATGAACCCTTATTTATATATATTAATTTTTTCATCTCTCGAACCAATGTAGGATATAATTTTTTACTCATGAACCTAACAAATTTCTCCCTTCATAAGTATCTCCTCACATTAAATTCAAATTTACAAACTCTTCTTCAAGCCTATTTTAATATTCAATGCAATCCCACCTTAGCACGTAAGATCACATCTTCTCCCAATCATAGATCCATTTTTTTTCCAAGATCCAAACTGAATTTTTGGACCCTTGCCAATTCTTAACTCCTTGGTCTAACATTAATTGGACCTCCTACCGAACCATGGTGCACCTGATCCAACACTAGTTAAACTCTTTAACACTTGGACACTTTGATCCACCATTAAGAAGAAAATTTTCACCGATCCAATTTCAAGAAGAATATACTTGCCCATGAGTTTCCCCCTTTATGAATAACCCCTTATATTAAATCCAAGTTTACATGCTTTTCCTCAAATCTACTTTAATACTCAATGCAAACCCAATTTAACACTTAAGGTCACCTTTTCTTCCAATCATGGACTCACTCTTCTTCAAGATCCAAACTGAATTTTTGGATACTTGCAAACCCTTAACTTCTTGGTCTAACATTAATCGGATCCCTTGTCAAACCCATGGTGCATCTGGTACAATACTAATCAAATTCTTTAGTACTTTGACATTTCGATCCACCAATAAGAAGAGAATTTCACCGATCCAATTTCGAGAAAAATTTGCTTTGTTCATGAGTAACTCAATCTTGCAACATGAAATTCTGATACCACTTGTTAAAAAAAAAAATGCCTCAAGAGTGCCTATCAAAAAACTCAATATATAAGTTAGGAACCCAACTCTAATTCAAAAAAAGTAAACTATTAGATTTCGAACCCTTACTTATATATTAAGTGTTCTTTTTCTATCTCTCAAACCAATTTGGGACATAATCCTTTACTTATTAATCTAACAAATCTCTCATTACATGAGTAGCCCTTCATATTATATTCAAGTTTATAAACTCTTTTTCAACCCCACTTTAATATTCAATACAAGTCTACCTTAACACCTAATGTCCCATCTTCTCCCAATCATGGACCCACTATTCTTCAAAATTCAAACTAAATTTTTGGATCTTGGTCTAATACTATCCGGATCCCGTGTCAAACTCATGACACACCTGGTCCAACACTAGCCAAATTTTTTAACACTTTAGAATTTCGATCTACTACCAAGAAGAGAATTTTCACCAATTCAATTTCAAGAAGAATCCACTTGTCACGAGTAACCCAATCTCGTAATATGAAATTCTAATACCACTTGTTAGGGAAAAAACGCCTCGAATTGATAGGGTGTAAATTATTGGTTATTTTATTGTTAATTTCCCCTTTTATCCTTGCCAAATATTGTTTTAATTATTAATATTTACTTATATTTGGTATTGGACCCAATTTCAGGAATTGAAGCAGAAAATTACCAAAAAGGAGGGACTTGTATGAAAAAATGCGGACTTCTAAGGGCTTCAACCTTTGGGTCCTTGAATTGATGGGGACCACAAGCTTGTGCAAGGCATTTAGTCATTTGGGCTTTTCAAAGAAAGCAACGCAGAGAGACTTGGAACAACAAGTACTTTGGAAACTTTGTCCACATGTGCGGGGACCACGGATAAGAAACATGAGTCATTTGGACTCTATGAAAAGAAACGTACAAGACTTTGAATTTGGTATGGGGACCACTAGAGATAGCATTAGACTTCCTTTTGGCTTTAAAAAGGGAGAAACGTACGAGAGGTTTATCAATCAATAGTTTTAGTTTAAGCTTTTAGCATAGTTTTAGTTTTCTTTTCTTAGTTTTTTCGCATGGTTGTTCTCCATTAATGGAGGACTAACCTCTCAATTCTAGTCAAGGGGACAACTGAAGACTTGGTTCAATAATTACTGTGAGATCGAATTTATTTTAATTGTTTCCTCCTTTTATTGGTATTCATATGTTTCCTGCTTTTAACTGTTATAACTCTTGTGTATGATTGATTAGTGCGCAATAATTAATTATTCATATAGGCTATTTTGCTAAATAGAGGTAATTGAATCCGTAATTGTTCGTTATCTCTATCTTAGTAGCAACTGGCGTAATTGGATTTATGTCAGGGGAGCATACGATCTAGTTTAAACAAACCCTCGTAGCGTGTTTGTTAGTTAGGATTGGGCCTTTCTAATTATTAATGCAATCTAGAAATTAAATCCTACGGTCGTACCTAGGGTTGTTTTTGGGTTAGAGAAATAGTTAACGGTCGTACCTTAACTATCGAGAAATTAAGGAAAGGTTAGTTGTTTATCGCGTGCATGACAACTATAACTAATCTATTAATAAATGTGGAATTATCTGTGAATCAATGATCAGTGCCTGAACCATTTCTGAAGTGTACCCTTGGCTAGAGTTTTCCCTTAATTATTTCTTTGAATTAATTATTTTCTGCAGTTAATTTATTTAGTTAGCATTTAATCCAAAACCCCCCATACTTTGGACTCTAGAAGAAACGAATTATCCCCAATCCCTGTGGATTCGACCCTACTCACCGCTATATACAAAATCTGTATTTTTCTCGAGTAGGTATTTATTATTGTACAGGTTCGGCACCTGTCAATTTTTGGCGCCGTTGCCGGGGACTGGTGCCAGATTAATTTGTTCATTTTTTTTATTTTTTTTTTTATTTTTTTAATTTATTTTTCTCTTATTTTTTTTATATAGTTTATGGCTTCTAA